CCTTGTTATCCTATGATTCAGAGGCCTAGGTCAGCGATGAAGCCTTTGCCGGGAATGGCTGCCGTAGTCCAGTGCAGGGAAACCTCCCGAAGGGCACGCAAATGGGTCTGCATAGGTCTTATCAGAAATCGCGGGTCCAGAACAGCATCGCCGTTCCATGCCGGCGCGTCGGGGGCAGCGCACGCAAGGGGGCCGCTCATGGCATGCGACAGGCAGCAGATACCTGTGGGAAGATTCCTGTGCCCGAGTGCAAAGAGAGAGGAATGCTCACAGGATGTGTTGGAATCAGGCGGGTCAAGTGCGGAAAGAGTGCTCCAAGCCGCGAGGCCATGGAATGGTCAGAGGCGGCGGTGAAAGGAAAAAATCCACCAAAGCGCGCCCGCCACGCCGCTGTGTACCTACCGGAGCAGCAGAAGATGCTGGTCTTCGGGGGTGATGGTCCGGCCCTGAGTCCGCGGCCGCGCGGCCGTGCCAGGGTCCTTTTGTGGGTAAAGCCTGCCACGCCCTGCCACTTGAGCCCAGGAGAACGCACGGGTTGCCCCGGCCTTGGGGGGAAGGGGCCTCTGGGGAGCCAGAGTTGCGATGCTTTGAAAGCGAGCAGCCCTGCTTGAGACCTCAACGATCTCTGGATCCTGGACACGAAGGACCAGAAGGCGCGAGAAGCATGGAAGCAGGCCTCCAACGAGCACAAGGTTTGTTGATTGCATGGTGCCCTGAAGTGTGGTGTTCTGTGCTATACAACCTGTGCGCGATTGACAAAGTCAGCAGATTCTCAGCATGGGCTTTTTGCTGTTGCAGTCGGATGCCCGGATGGGTTTAACGTCAGCCTAAGAGGAAGAAGCCCCAAATCATCGCCCTCGAGTACTTAGGACAAGGACCCGACAAAGTCGCTACCTTGACAGGGGAGGACAATTGCAGTGATGGTGTTTTTAGTGTGGTGGACGCCCCTGCGCCAACTCAAGCACTGGTGCTCTGGCTCACCCGGCTCTGTCGTGCCCTCGTTTTCTCAGAAAGACAGCCGTGATCTGAAGGCTCTGTGAAGTCTTATGCAAGACTCTGACGAGGGCTCGCAGGCGTGAAGTCCCAAGATGTCCAGAAGATGTTGAGTCCATGTGTAACCGACATCTCATCATAGTGCAAAGCTGGGATCGCAGGGGTTCAGATATTTTTAGCAGCATGGGCGGAACACCGGGAACATTCTGGCAGGCTTCATTGAATGGTTCTATGACCATGCGTGGTTCAATCGTCGTCATCTTGATAGCGAGTGCTACTGCGTCTATGATCTTTACCCCTCTGCTCTTCGACGTGGTCGCTCTCCTGCAGAGCTTAGCCCAGTGCAACGCCGCGTTGTTGCCACTTCTTTCCACAGGGGTTACTCCTCGGGACTGCACCAGAAACTAGTGCCCGGAGACGGATCTTCAACCTGTGCTTGGAACCTGTCCAGCTCCGCTTATCCGGTTCCGGTGGAGGCCGGAAGGCTTTTGCTTTACACAAAACGGGGAGGGTCCTTTCGGGGTTTGGTGTCTAGAGATCCAGAGTCTAGGACCAGTCTAGGAGGAGGGGGTATTGCCAAGCCCTAAGCCCTGGAAACCCTGCATGCTCGGCTGGTTGAGAGATGGAGGGGGCATCAGTGAGCCCGGAAGATGCTCTGCATGCCGCCAATCAGGCAGTTTTCGCCGTATTTGCTTCGTGTGCACAGAGCACTGTGGCGTCATCTTCTCGGAAACTTCTGCTGTGACAGGCGGAAGCTAAGCTGCGAGAAGCGATGGAGGGTAGCGACTCTGCGGCCTTGAAAGACGCCATCGGAGAAGGCGAGCGTGTGGGGCTATCAGAGGAGGCCGGAAG